TTAAAGCTTGTGAACAGAACCAAATTTAATGCAATCCATAGACAAAAGTTTAGCCAAAAAATAGAGAGCGAAGAGAAAGAGAGAGAGAGAGAGAGAAGAGAGAGGATAATTATCTAAATAATGTAGATAATAAATAAAATCGCACAGCATTGAAATGCATTAATAAAATAAATACAATAGATATTAGTTTTAAATAATGAATATTTGTTTGAAATATAAATCACAGAATAATACAATATATAACATATTTATCTAATCAATGTTATTCGCGCATTTCCTCCACTATTATATAATGTAATAAATATTTTCCAATTAGTTTCTCACGAATTTAATGTATAGAATCTATACTATAGATCTTAATCTATATATAATTGAATTCTGAAAGCTGTATATCATATACTAATAAATTAAGAAATACTAATAGTAAGCGAACAAAACAATAAAATAATTGCTTACCCGTTGGCAATGGATTCAAATGAATCATCTTTCATAAAGACAGGAAGCACTTGAACGGGAAACACCTCCGACTCGGCCGCCAATTGCATCGACATATCCAGCGGTACAGCATTTGGTACCATTAGTGGCAATGGATGTCCCGATTCTACCATATGGTTAGACCCCATAGCAAATATCGGCTCTCCTGTGCCGTCATGTATAAGATGGTGATTATGGAGACTGTGGTCAGCATTACTTATTAAATGAGTCTGTGTTGGAAGTAGTGGATGACCGGGATGTTTGTCTACAAATTGATTTTCTGACATTAATGGTAGTGGAAGGTGGACCTGGTGTTTGAATATCACGATAAATTAAATATTCAGTTGAGATAACCATTTGAAATATTTAGTAACATAAATAACACAGAATAATATTGATAACAAGTATACAGACCGGTAATGGCAGTGGTATTAATGTGTGTATTAGAGGTGGGGGTCTGGCGTACAATTCATGTCGATTGAAACCATCGATGTAACTGATTGTGTAATCTCTATTCATATATTTGGTGTCTTTCTTAGACTTTTTATTATTAAATCTTTCGCTCAAACGAAATATATTCCTGAACTTAAAGTCTCGTTTTGATGTCTCACAAACTTTTATAGATATTATCACTAAAGAGCAGACAATCACTAAAAAACTAAACAATTTGATTGTATTAATCATATCGAAGTCAAAGATTTCCTTTTCAATCGATATATCAATGAATCGTGTATTTAATTGAAAGCAAATAACTCTTGTCTTATCAATGGTATTGAGATTTGCTCGACATTACACTCTGGAGGAGTGATTGTCTCAGTCTATGCATTAAATGCTCGCAAAACAACTCTCACACATTAGATAACTGTCACAAACACCTAATGATCTCAATATTCAAATTGCATTTTCTCAACAAAACAAAAGTTACTTTTGTTTGAGACAAATATTTGTCAGTCAAATGAGTTTACGGTTTATGGCATCAAATCAATGTCACTCTTTGTGAACACCAAAAAACATAATTTAGAAAAAAGTTTAAAACTAATATTCGTTTGCATGTAATGTGAAGATTGTGTTCAAATCTAACAAACATTAAAAAGTCAATTCATAACAACTAATTAGATTAAAGTGTTGTTTAAATACATAATAATTCTAAAGAAGGAGAAATATGATATTTAAATTGCAATAAATAGTAAATAATAACTATTTAATGTCTTATAACAGGCCTTTAAATGTCTATTTGGATTGTTTTGTGTACTCTATTATTGAAAACAATTCCTACTTTATATCACAATAAAATTATATTATATTTAAATTCAATTCAATTAAATGTATTCATATATTTTAATTCAATAATAATTTGAGATACAATTTTCATTTATTTAATAAATAAAACTGTGAATTAGAGGTTAAGACTAACTTAACTTATTATTGTACTTTCAAAGCCTTATGAAACGCTCCGATAGTCAACGATGACAAACAATTATAACTATTTATTTGCTTTCCATTATATAATAATATCTTCTTTTAATGTTTTTGTTTAAGTGTTAATTCTTGTAAAACAAGTATTTTTTATTGAATTATAATTATTACAATTTACACAAAAAATGTCTCAATTGTGGGAAATCCTTATCTGTTGACGCATTTCTACATTTGTATATAAAAAATAATGCAAAATGTCATTAAAAATGTAATCATCTGTTGTTTGAATTAATGCTTAAATTGTTTGTAATTTCATGATATATAAAACGCTGAAATTATTTGTTTTCAGTCAATTCTTCCACATCTGAAGCCCTATTCTTCACTTTTCTGACTTTCAAATCAGACAAATCTAATGACAAATATTTGAAAAGATTAATACATATTATATACTAAAATATCAAAATATTCTTAATTGATAAACAATTTAAATAAATACCGAAACAATTTGGTTGAGTTCCAATCCATTGCCCATCTTTGCAGACATGTATGGCATCTCCTAACAAAACTTCGGTTTGAGGACTATTGCACTGGTAGTGAACAGTCGTGCCGTCGATGGCATACCATTTAGTTTGATTGAAATAAAATACATCATTGAAGCGAACAGTTGTAAACTCGGGATTGATTTGATTGTCTTCACCTTCAGGTATGGGACACACCGTTTTAGGTACACATGAAGGATATGTGCCCTTCCATCTCATGTCATATGCACATTGTCTCTTATGTATTGTTGTATCTATTAATTGATAAATCATTTCAATTATAATTTAATACATGTATAATAAAATAGATACAGCATAACAATAATGAACTCAATGGTTACTAATAAACTATACCGGGCAAATCGGGATTACTTTCGGACACGTAATCCCAGCTTTCAAGACATTGAATCGTATAATTGATATCTGGCCAA